TACAATGATAACTAGAAAGAAATTTAAATTTATATGAGATTGAGCAGCTCCCAATGTTCTAGAAGTTCATTAATTCACTGTGTTTTAAATGTTAAAAATTCAGAATCTGATGCTTAGAAATGTCTTCTGACCCTTATGTTTCCACATCAAGGTCCACATCAATTCTTCCTTTACTGAAAGATGAAGTCATTGCACTGTTCAAGTGAGTCTATCTCTCCAAGAAGCATCTCTTCAGTCTCTGCTTCTTATTCTATCCCACACAAAACACTTGAAGTCAGAGTAAAGTCTTGTTGATTTGATTGTTCTCTTTGGTGGATTCTCTTTGAAGGCAGCAAATGTGCACCTTATACCTTGATTTCTAGTTTCACTTTTGGACCCTTTTTCTCTTTTTGATGGTGCTGGGAATTGAACCCAGCACCTCATGAATGCTAGACAAGCACTCTATTACTGAGCTACATTTTCATCCCTATCTCCATTTTTTTTTCTTTTGGGTCCAGTCATGAGGCCTGAACTCTGGGCCTGGGCGCTGTCCCTCAGCTCTTCAGCTCAAGGCTAGCACTCTACCACTTGAGCCACAATTTCACTTCTGGCTTTTTCTGCTTATATGGTACTAAGGAATCAAAGCCAAGGCCTCCGGTATGCAAGGCATGCACTCTACTACTGAGCCACCTTCCCAGCCCCCTTATCTCCATTTTTATCTAGCCGTATTAAAGCTCAGGTAATTGCTCATCAGAGAAGACGTGTATTTATCAGAGCTAGGATTATCTGACCATATCTAGTTATAACTAAACACATCTCCAATTAGTGCTAGGTGGTAGGAAGAAAGACATTGAACAAGAATATTAAAATTGTATTAGAATAGGCCAGCAATAGACAATGTATAAGGCTGTACAATTCTCCATTTTGTATTTATATAAATGTTTAATGTGTCTGAACTCATGTTTGACATTGAGATTTACCATACAAAGACAAACATGGTTTTCTTTTACCTAGGTCCATTAAAAAAGCTACCTACTAGGATAATGGAATATTAACTTTCAAATGCCATTAGGTCCACTGTGTATTTAGACTGAAAGGATTTCCAGAGTAACTTAACTGGAGAAGATGGGTGGATTCTTGATCTCATTTTTTTTTTCTAAAATTCACAACTTCAGCTACTTTAAAGTATCTCACCTCCAAGCATACACACTACATGATCACTGATTGCTTTCCATCTATAAAGAGTTAATTTGATGAAATAGTAAAACTTGAAACATAAAATGAGCAAATTCCATATAGAAAGTTTTGGAAAGGGTGTCAGTAGAGGAAGCCATCTGATGCTGTCTCATTCTTTGTCAACATGGCCCATTTAAATGCTAGTTCACAGCTGAGTGTTGGGTAAATATACTATGCTAGGGATGGGTAGCAAAAGTACGTCCTCAAATCCAAGCTGGTAGATATTTAGGATTAAATCCTATCATCTGATGAATATTTTTCTTTCTAGATATTTTATTCCATTTTTTGGTCCTTATTTGACAGAATACAGTTTCAAGTATTATTTTACTTTCAAATATTTTTTCAACGTATATTTAAAAGCATAACTAGAACACAAACAAGAGCCATAGTACATCATAGCTTCAGCAGTTTCTGCATCATCCCTCTTCCTGCTTTTGTGTCATAACTAACCTAGAAACAACCAAAATTGATAGTTGCCCTCCTTGTCTTCTCAATGGCTAATTCAAGCCAGAATTGGAAGGCTACACTGAAGAACTACTTACAGATTGACCATTCCAATGAAAAATGAAGCAAATTCCTCAACTGCTTACATGTAACAGCAGAGAACTTTAGATTCTGCTAGTGTCTGATCTTCAGTACAAAGAATATGGCATCTAGGTATTATTTGAGAGAAGTTCAAGGCCAGCCTGAGCCTTGAACCTTGATTCTCCCGACCTCAGCTTCCCAAGTAGCTAGCTAGTATGACAGGCTTGAATCACTGGCCCTCAGCTTTAGATTCTGATTTTAACAGCAAATTTGGTAAGCTTTTAGCCTTTCCAAAAATAATGTAGCTTTTAATTCTCTTTTTTTTTTTTCGATTTTTCCTTTTGTTTAGATGGTCCCACACAATTCATGCCCCACTTCCTCTAGAACCAGCAGTTCTATGTTGGGGTAATTTCTGAGACTGTTTGGAAATGGAGCCCATGAAGACTGGCCTTGGAAATCCCTATCCTATCTTCAATAGATTGCTGGCCTTGGCGATCTCTAAGTCACTATCACTCTCTGAACAGCTTTCAGAGAGACAAGAAGGACACTGTCCTAATGGGAAAAGTAGTTAGGCAGTCTCAGAAGTTGCCAGAGAGAAAATTGTGGAACCGTCCTTTCTTTCATGGAAGGAAATTGTCTCATCCTTCTCTTTTATAAAGAAAATCCTATTGCTTTATTCAGCTTATTACTTTATCAGTCCCTCCCTAACAAGAGGCAGGGTGTTAGTCCCTATGTAGGATGTGATTTTATCCTTCCTCCTGCTTCCACATAACAGAAGTCTTTTCACCTGGGTCATGCTTTTTTCAGGGTCAAGGTGTTTCAAATGGACAAACTCCAAATGGCTCCTATTAATTTATAGACATTTCAATAACATGTATATTCATTTTTGCTATTAAACCAATGCCTCTTTTAAAAGGTCATCTTGCAGTTCAAAGTCTTTGCCAAGCCCCAAATTGAATGGTATAAGTGGTCATATTTACCTGCGTGTTTTACATATTTCTATGACTATGTGGGGGGGGGGGAGGGTGTCAGTGGTGGGGCTTGAAATTGGGCCTGGGCACTGTTCCTCAGCTCATCAGTTCAAGGCGAGTGCCCTACCACTTGAGCCACAGTGTCACTTCTGGTTTTCTGGTGGTTAATTGGAGATAGGAGTTTCATGGACTTTCCTGCCCAGGCTGGCTTTGAACCGCGATCCTCAGAGCTCAGTCTCCTGAGTAGCTAGGATTACAGGCATGAGCCGCTGGCACCCAGCGTTAGATTCCTAAATTTTAAAAGTGAGATTAAGCCAGACATTAACTTTTTGGTAAAGAAACCAAGCTCTCAACTAGAAATAATGACAAACAGAAAAAAAAAAACATATTGGTATTTTCCCCAAAATAGATGTCTCAAGAGTTTGTGTTTTAAGTTAGATACTTTAGATATTAAAAGTGAGATAGAAATTAAAGTTCTACCCAATGGTTTGAAGCTTTAGATAAAGCAATTGTCATTAAATGTAATATATTACAGGCTGGTGATCTTTCAGTGATAGTTTCTCTCGGGCAGATAGATCAGATAGCAGTTACCAAGTAATAAAAATATTTCTGGGAATTCCACCTGACCATAGCTCATTTAAGACTGATCAAACACACCCCTTTCCTCCTAATTAGGAAGAATTTTTAGAAACAGTGTTCTGATTGTTGTAGGGTCAGAAAATATGTGGAATGTGGGCCCTCTTTTCAGTAATATTCTCAGTGATTGACAAGAGCAGGGTGTGCCACAAACAGCTGACTGTTATAATGGTCAGGATTCTAAAGCTCATTGTTTATAGAGTTAGCTGAACTGATTCTGGGCAGTATATATATATATATATATATATATATATATAAATTTTTTTTTTTGCTGGTAATGGTACTGAGATTTGGATTCAGAGCTTCTCACTTGCTAAGCTAGCACTCTTATGACTAAGCCACATATCCAGCTCTGTTTTTATGTTGGTTGTTTTTGAACTAGGATCTCAAACTTTTCTTCCCTGTTGGCCTTTAGTGTTGATCTTCATGCTTTCAGTCTCCAAAGTAGCAAAGATCTCGTTCATGAGCCACCAGTGCTGGCAATTTACTTGCTTTTGCAAACCACATCTTTTCAGTGAGGAAGATAATATGGCTATTTTGAAAACCAAATGAGATAATTATTTAGATAGTTTAGTGTACTATCTAACACATAATTAGTGTTTCACAGCATTATTAATACAGGCTGTGATATCACATTGGAATATCAACTGAGCTGAACGTAAAACCAATGTGTTAAGTCATTGCTTAATAAAATAAAAACTAGCAAGAGAAAACCAGGTTATTGCCTCTGACTTTTTAAAATGTGAACATTTGGGGTTGGGGAAGATTGCTAAATGCCTAAAAGGAAGATGTTAAATACAGAGCAGAATTGTGGCCAGAAGAACAAACACCTTTTTATATTTTTTTTTGGAAACTGAAGATACTAAAAGTGTTTGTGTTTCAGTTGTTGTATGATTAATAAAAAAAAAGTTCCCTGTCTTTCCCTCTTTTTACTGTACTGATAGATCTAAAAGATAGGTGGGGAGGAAAAGAGACAGAGAAAGAGAGAGTGTGTCAAGGCAGGTGGGTGAGGTACAAAGAAGGGAGGGAGGAAAGGGGAAGAAAAGGGGTAAGAAGAGGGAGAGAAAGGGAAAAGGGAGAGGGAGACAGGTAGAGCTCACATAATGGATTCCATGTTGGTTCTAATAGGTTATATTGACATGTATGTGAATGTAGAGTTGGTCCAAGAGGGTAGATTGGAAGGAAGGGAAGTGAGAGCTAACAGAAAGGGAAGGGAAAACTGGAACCACAGAATTTCTAAGCTCTGTAGCAGTGTGGTGCTTTGCCAGCCTTGGCTCTTCAGAATGAGGCCTGTGATTAATCACAGACCAGCTCCTTCTTGACTTCAAAGGAGACATTCACCAGGAGAAAATGCCAACATCCAGGAGGGTAAGAGTCTGGCCAAATTCTTGTCAGAGCCTTTACAATGTATGCTACTCCTTGTGGGATGAAACTAAAGACTCTGCTAGGTGTAGATGGCAAAGTCTTAGTGATACACAGGGAACAAGAAGGCTAATTTCACATGTTAAGGCTAATTTCTGCTTTTCCCCTTAATTGTTGATGATAACATTGTTGTTTAAGTACATTTATAAATCCTGAAACATGGAGGAATGTCAGCATAGATATAATCTTTTCATATTGCTATAAAAGAATCAGGAGAAAATCCAAACCCAATTCAACCAGACAAGGCAGGAGCCATTTTATTATGTAATTTGCTAGACATCTACTTTATTCTGACTTCACAATCACTTGCCAGTTGGATCCGTGGAGTCACAGCAAAGGTAAGTTCAGGTATTTGTCCTCCTTTCACATCTTCTGTGCACAAAAAAATGTAGGAAACTCCTGGCAAGGCTCAATAGTAGACACTACAGTGTCCCTTTTCATGACATTTCCAAGATACTTAATGGAGACTGACAAACATAGAAAAGATATTGACTTATCTTATGGGCTCAGAAGATAGTCAGGTAGCACAACTCAAGCAGACTTATTTCCTCCTGAAATTTCATGTGTTTATTTTTATTCTGTTCACTGATCCAAAATTTCAAACTACTTGTCTTTGTCTGAAGCAGAAAAGGTATTCTTTCCTTATACATGCAGTGTGAGAACTAAATGAGATAATATATGTAAAAGGTTTGCAAATAGTGACTGTCAAATTAATTAGTGTGTGTTAGCGTAAGATGGTAGCACACTATTAAATGCAGGAAGCAACTGCACTGGTGCAAACCCCAACTCTAATGTACTTATTGGATGGCTAAAGCAAGATTGTGCATTCACTTGAGGAATGAGTTGGGTTCTCCACTCAGTGAGCATCATGAAAAACTTCCCTAACAGGATTTCTATGAGCATTAAATGCACTCATCTTTATAAGAAGCATTAAGAATGATACCTGGTTCATAATAATACTCTCAATGTGTTAGGCAGCATTATTAAGAGAATAGAAAAGCTGCATGTAAATTAGTTAATCCCTTTTGACATAAAAGAAGTGGTTTTCAGATGACAGAATCCACTGAACTTAAATTTTTCTTTGAGAAGAGGAAAAAGTAAGACATAAAAGGCAGAGTATGTGGCACAGGACTGTAAGATACATGTCCCCAAGATAAAAATAAAAAGCAGAGATTCGGTCAGGGGGGAATTCATGGACATTTATGGTCACAGAATTCTGATAGGCTGAAGGGCCAGCAGGCATCTAGCCAGTTTTTTTTCTTGTTCTCAGAAATAAAAGCTCAGTGTGTTTAGAAATGAACTACATTTTTTTTTCCTCTTGGTAGAAAAATTTATTTGTGTAGTCAAGGCAAACTTGCTGCTAACTGAAAAATGTGTCCACAAATATATATTAAGCTAAATGAAAACTGGATAAAAATGTTATGAGATTATAGAATGTGTTGATTTGATCATATATTTGTCATATAAAAAACCAGAGATGCTTCAAGAATAATACAACTGTTAAAGTAGATATAGGGTCAGTTTATTTGTTACTTAAGTGAAGTCAAATGCCTGGCTGATGGATTGTTCCCTTGAGCTGGCTAGGCTCTGGCCCCATCTCAGATCCTTCCAGATGGTGGCCTCATGGGAGATTAGGGGGAGAACAGAATCTTACCCCCTTCTCAGATTTGGTGAATGTGCATTTTAATAATTATTTTGAGTGATTTATTTTCATCTTAAGATTTGAAGGTCACCAAATGACATTATGTCTGTCTACTACCTTAGTTCTTCTGTCTTTAGTTCCATCCAATCAGCATAGCTTTGGGAGCCATGATGCTTACAAGGAGTCATGGGTATCAGCACGGTTTTATACTCAAGGATTTGTTTAATGAAGCAAAGGGTTTCCTTGGCTCACTATCTTATCATCTTTCTCAATAATGCCAGGAATTTAAGGCTATGGTGAAAGTATGTTATTACTCATGAAAGAACTATGTATTCAAGAGAAAAACAAAACAACTGGGTTTTATAATGCTGGTGCAGGGAAGGCCAATGTTGTAAAGAGGAAGTGACTTCAATATAGACTTTAGAAATTCACCTCTGAAATCCATCTAGTTATTGTATAACTTTGGACAAGATACTATAAATCCATCTAGTTATTATATAACATTGGACAAGGTATTATAGTTTGCTCATCTGTAAACTACGATTATAATGGGACCTACTTCCCGAGCAACTGTGAAAGTTGGATGAGTTGATGGGTATGCTAAACAAACACACCCACTCACGCCACTCTATAAGCTATGAGTTATATCTGTAATTCTTTACTCATTAAACTCCCCATCTTAACAGGTTTCCATTGTTTAAATAAAAATAAATCTGAAGACATTTGTGAAAAACATACTTGACAAATCCATTGGATTACTTGCCAACTAAAGGAATGCCCTCCTAGTCTTGTTACTCAGTGTGGAAGCTGCTATAAAAATGTCAATTCCCTCCTGAGTTCACTACGATCAGGGAGCCAGGCTTCCTAGTCATTATTCTCGTCTGGATGAAAAAAAAAAAACAACTAAGAATGCTGGATGAAAATCTTGAGGTGTTGGATTGTGTGTGGTTTTGGGAAAGTTTCAGATAGTAAAAATGCCTCTTCGACAGTGTTGGCAGGTTGTTATTACTCAGTTTTTATGGAACAAATTCAAATTCTGTTTATAAGTAGTGTTCCTTGCACCAAGGAGAAAATTTCTAGGTTCTAGAAGGTCTTCTAAAGTAAAATAAATGGCTTTAGGGAATGATAAGAGTCAGCATTGGCAGGACTCAAGCTAAAGCTGGTACTCAACTCCCAAGGCTATTGTAGACAAGAGAGTCTGGTTTTAATTAGGAGATGTTAATTTCATGGTCTCAAAGGCATCTGTCCATTGTTTCTGCCTAAGAGATACTATCAGGAATAGGTAGAAATGGCCTAGACCTTGAAGCTTCCAAGAGCCTAAATACTAGGACACTAGTGCCATATATCCAGTGACCTAATGACATTATGACTTCATGGCAGAAGTCACAAATATGATTTTCCATTGAAGTTAAAAGTGTTAAAAGCATCAATATGCCAAATAGAAACAAGTCTCCATATTTGTGGTGTTTTTTTATTTAATATACTAAATATGAAGAGCTTGCCTCTCCCCTCTTGGCCTGATCCTTTTATGTATCTAAAGATGGAATATGAAGGATTGACACCACCACCCGCTGCACTGTTCCAGGTCCATGCAGACTCCAGGCAAAACCCCTGGTATGTGCGAACTTGTTTGATGTGCTGGAAGTGCAATCCACCTAAGCCCAACTGTAACATCCCATTGTGGGCCCAACTGAAAAGCCCACCTCCCTTGACCTAGTGGCTTTTTTATTAACCCCTGCCTCCTTGCTCAGACCTACTATAAAAAACCCAGCTCCTGTTCCAACCCCTCGCACAACCTCCAAACCTGTGGGAAGGTCTGTGCCTCTCACTGTTCCTTATTGAACAATAAACAGTCCTGCCTGTTGAGGATCCAGTCCGGCCAATTCCTTTTCCGTTTTCCTCCATTTTCCCAATAAAATGTACTTCAAAACTCACATGTTGATTCAAGACCTGATTTAAACTTCTCTTGACTTCTGAGGGTTTGTCCTTGCATTCAGTTATGAAACCATTAGGCCTGTCTAAGTAGCCAAGTCATATATGGAGAGAATGAGATTGACAATAGACAGGCAGACAGGGAGACAGAGAGACAGTAAGATCTTCTTAAATTCAAATCTTATCAGAAGCAACAGTAGACAATAATGGTAACGAGAAGCCTGAACTAGTCATTTAAATTCTTGCAATGGTTTGAATGTGTCCCCCTCAAAGTTTACATGTCAAAAGTTTTACCTTCAAATGTAAATGCTGATTCCAGAGCTAGAATGCCCTTACCAGTGGTAGACTGGGAAATCGTTTTCTAGTAATATGAAGGCAAATATTTTATTTAAACATTATGGATTTATTTTTATGAATGCCTTCTATTTTTAGCAAGAAATGTTGATTTTTCCCATTTATGGAAATAATGTAATTTTTTAACTCTTTAAAAAATTCCTGAAGAAGCAAAGTAGATTGATTAAAATATGTATGACTATTTCTTTGAATTCATCCTTGCATGCTGAGTTTTTCTGCTCAAAGCTAGCAGTCTACTACTTGGGTCATACTCTTTTAGAAAAGAGAATTATCACAGTAAGAACTAACATTTATTGAGTGTACTGAATATTGTAAACATTTCCTTAAATGATGTAAACATCATTTACTATGTAAACATCATTTCCTTAAGCCTATAAGAAATAATATTTTCTCTGGAAGATAAAACGGCCCTCATGATCAGGATTCAGATTGCCTATAAAATCCAATGTCTATTTCTCTTCCTTTCCCAATAACAAAAATACATTTTTATTAGTTGATAGAAAAGTCCATTTGTCAGTTGGCCAAATGAAAGTTGAGCCTGATGTGAGGGTTCTGGTGCGCTCTAGTGGCAGAAAAGAAATCTTCTGTAGAAGTCATGGCTTTCCCTAGATTTTAGGCCATTTTATAGGATGGCATATTTAGTTATCCTTACTTGAGCTTGAAAACAGAATAACTAATCTATAGCAATTAATATTTGTAGCAAAAGATTTCTTATGCTGATCATAAGCTCTGGTAATATATCATATAAGTTACCTTTAATTCTAAGAATTTAGCCTAAGCAAAACTTGAGTTTCCTTATCTAATCAACTTTGCCAATATTGTGTGATTTTTCGTCTATAACTCTTTATTTGTAAAATAAGGTTATAATCACTCACATCACCATAATGAAAAAATATTATCTAAGGAGGGATCATTTGCAAAAGTTGCTGCCTCATAATTCAGCCAGGAGTTGTTAATTCTGTCCATTGTCCCCTCCCTCCATTCTTCCCCTTCCGTCCTCTTTTCCTTCTCTCTTTTTGTGATACTTTATAAAATTCAGAAAATCTTGCTGCATGTGGGTATGCACAAGTCAAAATGAAACCCTCCTGTACAACTAATTGATGCTAATAAAAATATGTATGAAAAATCGGTTGGAAACAACCTAAATGTTCAACAATCCCCTATTACTTGAACAAATAACAATGCATTCATTAAAAATTGGAATTTTTCTTTTCAGAATAGCTCTAGATTTACAATTTACAAAGACAATGAAAAGGATTCTCACGTCCAATCCTCCCACTTCTACTCACCTTTCTTCATGCGTCTGGTACAGTCACAGGCAAGCCGGGTAGACACAACCAGGGACTTCATGACCCTAACAAGCAGAAACAAGCAAACCAATAGCCACAAGACTGAGATCAGTGCAGTGACAGATGGGAACCACAAGCTGAGTGAAAATATTTATGACAATGGCCTGATCCAGATTGAGCGCCCAGGCTTTCAAAAGCAAATGTCAAAACAAATGGCTGAAGATGAAGGCTGTCTGAGTGGGGCAAGGGGTGCTTAAATGAGATGAGCTCAGCTTGCAGGGAGAAGAAGTGAAGTGTTTGCATCCTTCCTGAAGGATACAAAGAAATACCCAGCAGCCGTGATGGGTCCACTTGGAAGATGACTTCCAGACTGAGGCTATTAAATGATGTTCTTATCCACTCTTCCCTCTGTAACACCAGCCAAAGCCCAAAGAGCTTTCTGCTCTTCCAAAAAGCAATAATGAGTATGAGCAATATTAACCACAGCCTTAAAGAATTACGACTTGTTTCTCTGTGTTGTACTTTTTTTCTTTTCTGAAGAGCTGTGGACAGGAAATAATGAGTAACAAAGGAAAGGAAGTAATTGTGAAGGTTTAACAACGCTAGGGCTGGGTGATTTTGCCATAAGCAGTTCTCTTCTGTTAAGAAATACAAGCAGAGCCAGGCACAGTTGGCCCAGGCCTGTAATCCTAGCTACTCAGGAGGCCCAGATCCCTCCTCAGAATCCCACAGTAGAATTTGTGTAGCTTTTCATATCATTGTCACTTAGACCATGCACCATTCAGGGCCTCCCTTTCCCTGTCCCTTCCCCCTCCCCCCTCCTACCCTCGGGGCCTTTTTGTGACTGTCCTGTACTGGACAAGTGCTTGCTCTGAGTGTCTGTCATGTCAGGTTCAAGCCCCTCCCCAACCTTCCCAGTTGGGAACAGTAGAAATTAAGGAGAGAGTAATTGGGCATTTAGGAGTCTTCCTTGATCTGAGTTTTACCAGCCCCTGTGGACACGCCCCAGAAAGGGAAATGCCCACTTGTGCAATACACCCTGGCTCCCTGCGCAGGCCCGCTGGCCTCCCCCTGCCCGCCCCTGCGCAGGGCTAGTTGCTGAATCAGTGGAGCTAGCGCCCCATCCCCCGGGCCATCCCCCTCCCCTCCTCCAGCCACGCTTCCTCCCCACACTAGGGGCTTTTTCTTGGGTCCTGTCTGATCTCTCCGAAGAGCTGCACCCAGGTATTCACCTACGATTCTGGGGAAAGGGAAGTGGTTCCGAGAGCACCACTGCTGGCGCGCAGAGGGCGGGCCCCGGCAGAGAACACACCCGGAGGCACCGGGCCGGCAGGAAGGTCACTCCGACCGAGGTTGGGTGTCTCGGGGCGCTTTCCCCGCAGTCATTGATTCTCCCGCCATGCCTTGGATCTGGACTCTCCCACTTTTGGTGAGCCCTCGGCTATTCACGTGGGGCTTCTCTCCGCCTCGCCCTGGGGCGGGCGCCGTCGGGGAGGCGTTGGGTTGAGTGCGTGGGAATCTGGGGTGCCCCAGGTCAGCCGTGGCCTGCCTCTGACAGACTGAGTGGAGGATGGGGGAGGGTGCGACTTTTCCTGTCTCCCGGTGTTCTGGGAGCAGGGGAACTCGCTTTGCTCGGTGCTTAATGAGCCCGCCACCGGGCAGGTGGGGCAACACCCGCGCTGTTGATCCACGCGAGGAAAGGAGGCGCCCGTGGGGAGCGGGCGGAGCCTGGAACGGGGGCCTGGCTAGCTTTGGGGTGTCTGGAGGGGACCCGGTCGGGGAAGAGGTGGAGATTGTGAACTCTTGCCTAGCCAAAGATCCGGTGACATGTGCGCTCCGGACTCCCAAGTGCGGAGAGAAACGATGGAAGTAGCTTGGGGAGTAAGCCTGCTCCCGGCAGTGGTTACCCCTGAGTCTAAGAGCCAGCTTTTCTTTTTTTTGGGGGGGGCAGTCATGTTGGGTGACTCGCCGGCCTTGTTTAACTTTTCTAGGCCACGCAGAAAACGAAACTATTTTGTTTCCTTTCAGGGAATTCCTCTCCTTCAGGCTGCACAGAGGGTGTGTAGTGCTCCTGTCTGCCCCCGCCCCCCCCGCCCTTTCTCTTTCTCTTTCTTAGCTGGCACTCTACAAAGTCCCTGGACGCTGGGCAGGAGGCCTGGTCCCCAGCTCCCACCCAAAGCCTCTTGGAGAGTCGCTGGCTCTGAAATGCCAGCTAGGTGGTTGGCTAATCAAAGGGACTTAGCCCCACGAGGTTCATTCTTAGAACTCCATCTAAGTCCTAGACATGGATGATGGGTGCGTTCGCCCAAGTCAGTTTTCATGGCAGCCTGTCGTGCTGAAGACATCCTGTTCATTTTCCTGCGTGTGAAATGGGTTTAGCGGGCCTCAGCCATTCTAACAGGTCACACAGACAGCAAGTGGCAGAGCTGGGCTTGAAGTCTCATCTGATTACCAGGCCCCTCAGCAGTTCTGATTTCCAGAATACATTTAAGATTAGAAAGGCAAAGGCTGTGCTGTCAGGGACCTTTTAATGATGGGGGCGGGGGAGGTGAGTAGGGAAAGTCTCTCTTGTTCTTTAAGAAATAATGTTTGATGTTAGGCTCCTTGAGGCATTAACATTCACCAGAGAGTACCCTCTTAAAACAGCAAGGAAACTGAGCTCTAAAAGTATGCATAGATCCAGCTGGGAAGGTGGCTCAGTAGTAGAGTGCTTGCCTCGCATGCATGAGGCTCTGGGTTTGATTGCTCAGCACCACATAAGTAGAAAAAGCCAGAAATGGCACTGTGGCTCAAGTGGTAGAGTGCTAGCCTTGAGCTGAAGAGCTGAAGGACAGTGCCAGGCCCAGAGTCCAGGCCCCATGACCAACAACAACAACAAAAAATGCATAGATACATCCATTTGTGTATGCAAATAAAAATATTTATTGATGCTATATGACCTAGAAGATGAAAAGTGTATTAATTAATGTTACAAGTGCAGGTGACTAAAAATGTAAATATCACAAATAATCTTATCTCCCAGATAGTCATGGTTTGCATTTTAGAGTATATCTTCTACTTCCGCTCATCTAACATGATTAAATTTTATTTTCCACAGAACTTAGCTCAAATCCACCACTTGCCCAACATCATGCCTCTATCTTTAAAGAAGTTTGCATATTGTGTGTCCCCTAAGTGTCTCCAGGGAATGCTTGCTGGTTTTGTGCCCCACTCCCCCCCATCTCATGTGTCCTCAATAGTAGCGATAAATAAAATAAAAACCTAGTACGAATGTCATGAAGCACAAAAACAAGTTTTAATTAGCTGACGGAACAACTGCTTTATTTACTTTTTCTCTCTTTCTTCCCTTAGTCTTCTGGTCTCTAGTACTATCTAGATATAATACATCTCCTTTGCTGTACTTCCTTTTTGCTACTCTCTTAGAGCTAGTTTTTTTTCCTCCCTCTTTTCGAAAAGTGCTGTTTTAAGTGATATTCACAAATAAATCTGAAATCCTCATATGCTCACAAATTTCTAGAGGAGACAACAAGAATCAAATTTTATATCTGTGGATATTTCTGGGTGGTTTGTTTGCATGTGTGTTTGTTTTATGAAATTATAAATTAACCTTGAAGCTTTCGCTTGTACTTTTTAAAAATGCAAGCGATCACTAGGCAGGCAATTTCTTCTGTCACATTTCTTCAAGCAGTTATTTCAAAAGGAAAGAAGCAGTTACAAGTAATCATACAGAATAGTTTGGGGTATAGAGAACAATTAGTTTGTGTATAATTTAATAATTTTCCTTAACATGACCTTAGAAACTTTAGATGAGGTTTCTGTTTCATTCTTTTATATTATTTTTGGTGTTACTAGGGTTTGAACTTAGGTTTTCATGCTTGCTAGGCAGGTGCTCTACCAATCACTTGTAATAGACCTTTTAATCCTCTATTTTAATTTTGAATGGACTTTACTTACATTCCCAAGGATTGGAAATGTTTTATGACTACAATAAAAATGTAAATCAAAACATTAACATTCAAGGTACAAAAACACATGTTTCTAAATGATGTCAAGATCATGAGGCAAATATTAAACTGGTATTTGGGGACCATCAGCGTCCCCCCCATTACCAGTTACACAAGTGGAAAGTCTTCTACTGAAATACAATTACCACCCTCAGAGGCAGATTTATGCTTAATTGAGGAACATAAAGTCTTTGCATGGAATTTAGAGGGTGAGAAAAGCAGATACACACACAAAGAAGCAGGATTTTGGATACTGACTCTGAGAAAGTCTCTTCAGGACAGTGTTCACACAATTTGGTCCTAAATACTTAGAATTTCACAGGAATCTCTCTAAAGGATAGGGAATAGTTTGAGGGGAGGTAGGTGGCTGTTGTACAATTGTCAGTTGGAGAGAATCTTCATATTCTGAGATGTTCAGAAACCTGAATAAGGAAATCCCCACTTGAAAACCACTGCTAGCCTGAGGACTTTTGGTGAATTATCTTGGGTCTGAAAAGTCCCTTACTGAGCACATCTTATAATATTTGCTAATTACTTTTGATTAAAAAATAATAAAATGACATAATAAAAGGATTTAATTTAAAATCGAATCTCTATGATCAAAAACAATTCAAACCAAATTTAGGACATTGAATCAATTTAAACTCTTTTAAATAGATAAATATAAAAATAATTTTTTCAAAGTTAATATTGGAAAAATAACCACTCATTAGTCTCTTTAATAGGAACATTTTTATTTATAGCCTTTACAGACACACACGTACACACACACACAATACTTAATCACTGCTATTTGCACTCTACTATTTGTCATTTTTCATGTAGTACAAACCTGTTTCTATTGCTATGGAATTTTCATTTGATAAATTTTATTTAACTAACTTTAATTAATTAATTTATTTATTGTGCTACTACTGGGGCTTGAAATCAGGGCCTTGAACTCTTCCTTAGCTTTTTCAACTCAAGCCAAACCTCTACTTTCATGATAGTTTTTATTTATTATGTTACAGGGAGTATATTTGCTAAATGTGTTGAGATCACTACAATTTTGTTATTTATTTAATTTGTAATTATTTTTATAATTTATTATTATAAAACATTTCTTAAATGGCTGCCTATCTCTATTTTTTTCTACACATGAACACATTCATAACTCTTATTATGAAAGAATCATTTGCAAATACCTTAGGATATAGTTTCTTACACTTTTGGTTACATGTATACTTTTTGGTTTTTGTTGGTCATGGGGCATGTATGTATATATTCTTAAAAGTAGTAAAGCAACACTTAATTACCTAATTAGTCTTTTCCTTTAAACAGAAGGATAAAATATTTTTAGGTTTTTATGTAGTTAGACTTCTTCTAACTCAAACTAAATATCTCCAATTCACTTCTCCAGTTACCTCCAATTAAATATCTCTGGTTCCAAAACAGGAATCAATCTTCTTGTCTATTTTTTTTGGAAATGACAGTGTGAATAGTTGAGCCCACATTAGAAAGATGGTGGAGATTGTAAGACTGATTATCTGTACCTTTTTTTTCTCCATAGAAGTTGTTTCTTGTCTCAATCATAGCTCCTTTCTTAATTTTAGCTGCTGCACAAGCATGTCAAGCCCTCCATCTATTGGCATTTAGGGGAAAAATCCATCAGACAACTGGTTCATGTCCCGACTTGGTGAAGATGATGGTGAATTTAGTATGATACTCTGCATTTTTTGTAAAGCCAGACTTGTAAATTAGAAAAGCTGATTACAAATTGGGTTAATATATGTCTACAGCCCAGCTTTGTAGGCAAGCTTACAATAGGCCATGATAGGGCATGGACTAGGGTAAACCAGCAAAACTGGAATGAACTTAGGGTTCTATTAATTACCAACATGCTTTTCTTTGGTCTAGTCACAAAGCGTTATGTATTTCCTCATCTCTGTACTCTGTGACGCCATGAAAATATGAGAAATACAAGAGAAACATCAACATGTTTGGTTTCTGAAGGCAGAGATCCTGAGTAATCAAACCATAGTGAGAAAGTGAATGAGTTCAGCACATGGGTTTAAGGCTCTGACTTCTTGCTGATGTTTCAGCTTTGGTATTTTTCTCCTCCAAAAGAATGTTTGTAAACTTTTTTTCACAGGACTATTTTTAAGAAGCAAGGCCTGATTTTCAACTCAGGGCCTAGGAATAGAAAGACAATTGTCCTATGATTTCTCTTACATGTGAAATCTAAAAAAGTTGAACTCTGAGATCTAGAGAAGTTCATGTTGTTTTCCAGGTGGTTATCATATTAAGAAAGAGAAAATGTAGCGATGTTAGTCAACTCATTCTAAATTCCATTTAGATGAGATGAATGTATCTGAGAGATCTATTGGACAGCATGCTGACTACAATTAGTGCTAATGTATTTGTATGTTTAAAAATCACGTAGTAGATTTTAAGCAGTCTCACCACAAAGAATAACAATAAAGGGATGAGAAGGGGAAACAACAAGGAGGCAACAATGCTTGATAAGAAATGTACTCATTATCTTGCCCATGTAATTGTAACCCCTCTGTACGGTATTCTCACGATAAAAAGAAAAAGAAAAAAAGGAATAACAATAAGCATGTAAAATTATACAGAAATTAATTAGCATGATCCCAAATTAATTACCCATCCCAAAACATATATGCATTTCAAAGCATCATGTTGTGGGCCATAAATACATGTAATTTTTTTTTACATTTTTAAAAAAAGTCCCGCACTGTCCCATGACTATTTTTTTGTCCACATATTATTCACATATAGCATATCAAACTAAGTGTTATGGTTGGAATACAAAGTGTTCCCCACAGGGACATGTTTCAAATCTTCTTCCCCAGCTAGTGATGCTATTTTGGTAGATTCTGGAAATGTTGGAGTTGGCATACAGCTGGAGGAAGTGGGTCTCTGCTATCCAGCCTTTGAAATTAGGGTTTTGTACAAGTAGGTTTTAAGAAATGCATCTACTTCTTCACAGTATTGAATAATATTAATTTATATATTTAAGATATTTCCACTTTCCAATTTCTAGGTAAGCTGTTAGTATAGCCTACTACCATTGTTATCCATATTTTTAATTTATTGAAAAAGAATTATACAAATTAATCTTGCAGGTTTGTTCAAAACAAATGAAACCTCACAACGCAGCAAATCAGTATTGGTCTGTAGGCTTAACTCAATCTTGCTACAACTCAGTGTACGTTTTAATTTGTATCCTACAGAGAGGTCATGTTCATGGTAGAGGGAAAAAAATGAGTTAAACAAAACCAAGGAAAAAGGTCAGTGGTCATCTTCACAAATTGCGCCAAACTCTAAAAATTCTGGGGGGGGGTAGTTTGAGTGAAACAGGGTCTGATGGAGTGGAAATAAGTAGGAGGAGGGTGAAAAAGAGTGATAGGGTATGTATGAAAAAGAAAACTTGTGAAAGTTATTTAGGCAAGAGAGGGGACCAAGCAATAGTAGCCATGACTTTAATCAGAATTTGAATATGTTCATGCATGGCAATATGGCAATGGTGTGATAAAGAATAATAGGACTAAAGATAAAGATAACTGATAAAACTAAAGATGATAATACAATAAAATAAAAATTAAAAAAAAACTAAAGATGATAAAGGTAAAGAATAATGATGTGTTCCAGAATAACTTCTTGCAGACACATTTGTCTACAGACTTGGCCTTTCCACATCACATCCAACCATCCAAGCTTGTGGGGTGGGTAACAGTTGTTTCTCAAATTGCTTGGTTCAGAAATCAGTGAAGTTCTTTTCATTCTTTTCTTCTGTAGGTGCTTACCTTTACTGTTGGATCTTTGTCCAGAGTTACTGCCCAAGCTATTGATACCAAATCTGAACTGAGGACAAATGTGACTAAAACCGAGACTCGATGCCAGGAAGGCCAGCAGCTTGGGGGTCAGTCCTGTGGTCCTCCATGTCCACCTGGTAAGATACACAAAACATCCAGAGATGAGAATGAAAAAAATTGGCAAGGGTGGCAAAGTGTAATCATGAATTCAATATTTTTACTTCTTTTGGTTCTTCTATAGTATATAACAAAACCAGAAGAAAAAACAAACTGAAATTACTTTCCAAAGACTAGTTTTATTCATTTTTACAAATTATTTGGTGTGGATACAGATAGATATAAATTATAAATGACATATATACCATTGACATGAGAGGATTATGTATGTTATTTCTCAGGAACAAAAGAAGACTCCTCTGAGTATAAAAGCTTATCATCTCAAAACTATCTATGACATATCATGCTAACAACAGAGATTGGATGACAAGGGTCTTCAACTCATAAAGGATATGTCTCAATACTTGCCTTCAATAAGAACTCTAACAGAAACTTTTTCCTGATGCCTGAAAATATACTTGTATTTTGTAGATGAAAAACCAGATGAACTGGAAAAGACAAATACAAACAGATTTTGAAATTTGTATTTAAAAGATTTTTTGCATTTTTATTTGTATTTTGAAGCCTGAACTGATTTCAGATCTGAAATTCTCTCCTAAGCATCCCCTCCTAAACAATGCTGGGTGGTTGGGTCAGTTTCTAGATGATCTATCCACTTAGAGCTCTGATAAATGTTTGTAAGCCTGGTGCTACCTGTTTTGCACTTGAACACAAATTGTGTGATGGTGAGACTGTTGATTTAAATAGATCTCAAAAAGTTGTAATTGGATACCAATGGCTTATGCTTGTACTCTAGCCACTCAGGAGACTGAGATTGGAGGATTCCAGCTCAAGGCCAGCCCAGGAAGAAAAGTCCATGCCAATCTTACTTCTAATTAACCACCAAAAGCCAGAAGTGGACATGTATTTCAAATAATAATAATTGTAGCTTTTAGTGAAAAGGCTAAGGGACAGTGCCGAAAGGCTGGAGTTCAAGCTCCAGTACCAGAAGAAAAACAAAAGTTATAGCTTGGCAGCCAAGGCTCTTACTTGTAATCCGAACTACTCAGGAAGATGATACTACTAGCGGATGGCAGTTTGACTCTAGCTGGGGCAGAAAAGTCCAAGACACTATCTTTTCAATTAACCAGAAAAAATTCCAGATGGGAGTAGTGACACAAGTGGTAGAGCTCCAGTCTTAAGGGAAAGAGGCAAGTAAGAATGCAAGGCCCTGAATCAAGCCTCAAACAGAGAAAAAAATAAAACCTATGATCAGAATTTTAGTGTCATTTCTTGCATGTTTCTTATGCTTCAAAAATCTACCTTTTTCTTTTTCTTTTTCTCTGACAGGCACCAGAAAATGTGCCAACTGTCCAAATAATGGGGTGGAACCAGTCTGCGAGCCCTGCCAAGAAGGAAAGGAATACACAGACAAAGAACATTATTCTACGAAGTGCAGAAGATGTGGATCTTGTGATGGAGGACATGGTAGGTGCCTAAGAAAGCAACCAAAAGTGACCAATCCTGACCCTTCAAGTAGAATGACTTACACTGTAATTTAAGTGGAGAGCTTCTCAGGTGTTGGCATTACCGGAATGAGCTGCCTGGGACTAACTGGGTAATGGAGGACTAGGCGCAGTGCTAATAATTGCTTTTGTAAGTCAAGTCTTAGCATTCTCCTATATGAACACTAGCAACTTAATATCAACCCTATAAACCAGCAAATGACTTAATATCAACCATATGAATCCTATAATCAACTCCAATTAAAACCACAAAATCTATTTCTTTTACTGCATCAATTTATACTTGTAGGATAGTATTGTTCATAGCCAGATAGAGAAACCAAAGATATGATGCTTTCATCTTTGGGGATCTAATTCATCTTCATCATTCTGCTTACAAACCTGAATTTTATGGATATTTTGATCTATTCTGAAGGCCCAGATTGAAACGTGAAAAGTATTCCTACTTTTGTAAAACATGATGAAAACTTAGTACCTAAAGCTTTGCTTGGCCCTATTCAGGCTTTGAAACAATGTTTCTTTTTTCTTTTGGTCTGTTTTTTTTGGAGGGGGGTATTGGGGGGAAGGGCACAGCACTGTCCCTGAACTTTTTTGCTCAAGGCTAGCACTCTACCACTTTGAACCACAGCACCACTTCTGGTTTTCTGGTGGTTAATTGGAGAGAAGATTCTCCCAGACATTTTACTGCCTGGGCTGGCTTCAAACCACGATCCTTAGATGTTAGCCTCCCCAGTAGCTAGGATTACAAGTGTGAGCCACCAGTACCCTGCTTACAACAATGTTTCTAACCATGTCTGTGCATTAGAATTGCCTAGAGTACTATTACAAACACTAGTAATTAGATCTCAGCTCTAAGCAATTAGATCAGAATCTTAAGTTAAGTGAGGCCTTAACATTGGTCTGATTAAAGCCGGTTACCGCCTGACATGCTGCATTCTGAGTCATGCTGATCCTGGTGGTTTGTGGGCCACACAATAGAGCAGCAAGGCCTCTAGACTACAGGAACAGGCGAACCATTGAAGCAGCAGTGGAAGCAGTGCTGGTTTCAAGATTGCCTATCCACATGAGGCTCTGCTCAATGATTATTGGACATTTCAACATGATAATAAGCAGATTTCAAAATTCCATGCAGCTCTTGACCATTATTTCACAGTTCATTTATAACTAGCTGCTGTATTTATTAAATTAAATATTGGTTTTATAGGTTTAGAAGTAGAAACAAAGTGTACCCAGACTCAGGATACCAAGTGCAGATGCAAACCAAACTTTTATTGTAACACGTCTGGATGTGATCACTGCGACCCCTGCACCACGTAAGTTTTACTTTTCATACTTTGGAAGACATTGCCTTTCTAGAGAGAAGGCACACTGAAAGTCAATAATTAAGGTTTTAGTCTTTATTTTTCTCCTCCAAGCAACTAGATGATCATCTTTCTATTTAAAAACATCGTTGAGCACTGACCATCATTGATGATGGTCATTATTGACACTGATCATTATTGACACTGATCATTAATTGTGCATTTGACACTATGCTGGTTGCTCAAACTAATATGAGACACACTTCTGTCATCAAGATCTCAATTCTAGAGTCAAATACAAACAAGAAAAAGAGAGTCATTGCATATCAACACCATGTGGCAAAAACAGGAAGAAATGTGTGGCCAGGGTATTATAAGTCATCCAAGATAACTTTTCAACCCTGTCTGAAAGAGGAGATTGAAGATAACACATGTGGCTTGAATCTTGAGTAAAAAAAGAAACAATGGTAGCATGTACACATAGATGAAGAGCGAATTTTAGGCATGGAACAGTAGTTGCAAAGAGAATAAATTAGATTTTTTGGTGCATCTGATGAATGATTTGGCGATCTGCTCAACCTAGACCAATCACTCAAAAGAAACATGTGTGATACTCAATCAAGTTTTCTACCTTTGGGTGAAAACCAGACTCTAGAACATGCAAAGTGAGGGCCTTCTTTATCCAGCCCTGCTTGCTTCTCAGTCTTTTCTACCCTCCATCCAGGTGTCCTGTTCTCCAGAGTGTCCTCTGTCATTTCTGTAGAGATAAGATTGGGTAATATGTGTTGTAAAAGTGTTTGTGGTGGGGCTTTGGGTAGAGCTCCTGTTTACCTAGCACTACAAGGTATGGGGTTTGATTCCTTTACACTACAAAATAATGGGGTTGAGAATGTGGGTTAGTGGTAGAGCGCTTGCCTAGCATGCATGAAGCCATGGGTTCAATTCCTCAGTACCACATAAAGAGAAAAAGCCAGAAGTGGCACTATGGCTCAAGTGGTAAAGTGAGCAAAAGAAGCTCAGGGATAGTGCTTAGGCCCTGACTGGACTGTCAAACACAAACCAACAAAACCCCTCAAAATAAGCATCTTTTCCTTTGAGACATAGTATTTTACATATAGTTTTATGTAAATACACACACTCAAGATTACTGCGAATTTGCCTCTCCGTAAGCTTGTAATTCATCTAGGGGAAATTTTCATCTAATAGGTTTGAACAAAGGAGGGATATGGTACCTCATGACCTATTAGCTAGAAATGTTTTACATGGAACTATTTTTGCTTCTCCTTTCTCACCTCAAATGTCAAATGTCTGAGTGCCCACATGATGACTGGATAGGTAGCAAAGGGGGAAAGGAGCTAGTCTAATAATAGTAGTGGGAGTTTTAAATACTTTATAGTCTTGGTATAATATTCTTCCCACCATAGCTCTTTAAGGTAGATAACAGGATTATATCCATGTTACTAATAACAAGCTCACAAGAGTCAACTGACATATCCTAGTTAAGTAGTGAAAAGAGCTAAGCTGTGAACTCAGAGCATCTGACTGCCAGTGTTTGGGTGTTTGAAGAAAATTCCAGATGGGAATCCTTGAATCCTTTTAATCAACACTTTGTGCCTGAAGCAGCAACCTGTGGGGATTAGCTTCCTAGCTTTCCTGAGTAATATCACGAGCAATCATTTCTGCCTGGCCCTTATAAGGTGTTTGAAATTGCTCTTGACCCTTTATTTTTTTAATAGTTTATTATAAGCTCTGATAGTTTGAGTTCAATTTATTACTAGTTTGAACTTTATTTTCATTTAATTTTTTCTCTTGTTATATTACCTTCTTTTATCTTAAAAACTTCTTTAAGAAACTCTTTCACTTAAATCTCCAAGTTATGATATTAACTTGTACCACTTTTAGTTGCTAACCTAGAAATACTTGAAGGAAAATGTTAACCAGAGATACAAAAATGAATATAATGGCCCTTGATTTATAATATACCCTTGAAAAATGATAGAAGAGTCTGTCCAGAGTTTCTGAATTTCCTCTATCATTTTTTCTTTCTTTATAGATGTGAGCATGGAATCATCGAGAAGTGCACACCAACTAGCAATACCAAATGCAAAAATGAAAGTAATAATATATTGTTATGATTATATTCCCCCACCTCCCATCCCACCACCAAATATCTACAAAAGCTCATTGCTTTTGATTGTTTGAGAGTGTTTATTCTTAAAAAATTTCCTTATTTTCTTATGAAAATTTCTAAGCTTTGGTTTCTAGATCCAGTTTACACTGGCTGTGGAGCCTCCTCTTGATTCTGGTTACTGGGGGTGAGTTTCTAGTTTGTTCAAACTATAGACTGAGTATGATTGAAGTACTGTATATGGAAGTGTGAAAATAGAATAATGAAACTTGTTAAAATTGCTTGGCAAGGGAATACGAACAAGTAACAGAAAGGTGAACATAATCAGAGTACATTATGTGCATGCATAAATGCACTACAATTAACTCCTTCTGTTCAATTAATATAAATTAATATTTATATTCATTTAAATTAAATATTTAATAAGTTAAATAATATTTATTTATATAATAATAAATATTATATTATATTATAAAGTATTATAAATAGTATTATACTATCATACAGTACACTTATATATTATTTATATTGATAAATGAATATTTATAATTAATATAAATTAGTTCAAAGAAATGGCATGGAAAGTAACTATTCACAAAGATGTTGTATTATTCATCTCTTACTATTGAACACAGCTCTCTTCTGAGAGTGATAAGAACAAATGATGCATTTGGTTCCCCTTACTAGTTTCCACTGTGTCTATGAATAGGTACTTTCTGCAGTGGCAGAGTGGCCAAAAGCTAGAAGTAACCTATGAGCTTGTCCTATGTATTAGGAGTACAAAAAAAGTCATGGTTTCCTGAATGGCATTTTGAAGGGGACTTGATCAACTTAGTCCTCTAGATTCCCCCTCTGCCTTGACACAACTCTGTTTTTAATTATCTGTTAAAAATTATATTTTTGGCCAGGCGCTGGTGGCTCAGGCCTGTAAACCTAGCTTCTCAGGAGGCTGAGATCTGAGGATCACAATTTCCAGTTTGGACAGGAAAGTCCATGATACTCTTATCTCCAGTAAACCACCCAAAGACCAGAAGTGGTGCTGTGGCTCAAATGGTAGAGCCTTGAGCTGAAGAGCTGAGGGACAGTGACCAGGCCCAGAGTTCAAGCCCATGACCCACAAAAAATATATATATATTTTTATTATTCCTTCTCCTGAAATTAGCCCATGGTGGCAATACATTCCATGTAAGAATTACTTAACCAGATAAGCCCAGATTGGTACAATCATAATTACTTTGGATAAAATGCCTTTAAATCAATCATTCATAAAATACACCATGATGCTAAAGCTCAGAAACTTAGAATCTATCAGTTGTTTCCTTTCTTTTGCAACAAGTCACTGTTCCATTCAGGTGAAGATCAGGTTGCCTTGAGTTTTAGTGTTGGTTTAACTATGAATGCATACTTGATGTTTAAACAGTGAATATACTCACACGGACTTCAGTTCAACACTGACTGAGTGTGTATACTTGAGTTATTTGTGAGTATATGCGCTTGGACTTCTAGATATTAAATGCTCCCTCAGCCTACTTGCCATGTTCTATGGCTTCCATTCCCTGCCACAATCATGACACTCATCATGCTAGAGATGAAGTGTTGGTGTTCATACAGTTAAATCAAAGCCAGTTTCATGCTAGGCCAGGGGTGTGGCAATTAAAATGTGACTTAATTAAAATGTGACCTACCTCTAGAGCACCTGATTCTGTGGGGGTGAGATTAACCTAGTCCATTTTCCTGCTGTGTTGGGGACTTGAAATTTCATTGAGATTGTCCTCTTCCCTTAGTATACTTCTCTTAATGTGAAAGAATGTTCACACGCTTCTGAACAGGTCTGATGGAAACTTCTTTCATCTTTTAGGGGTGATATTTTGGCTGTATCACCGATGGCATGGAAATCGTGGGCATCATGAATATCCACCCTTAAATGAAGTAGGTGTTAATATATGGATCAGCTTTCTTTTTTTTTTTCAAAATTTTTATTGTGATTAAGTGGTTAAATAATTTCCCAAATTTCACAGTATTGTGGGATAGTGATGCTTAGTTAAAGACACAAACACATTCTAACTTTCATGGAGCAAATTGTCAATCATGGTCTATAACATTTATGAGTTCTATGAGCTTTGCAGTACAGTTATTTCTTCCACATTGGGTGATATGTACATTTCTTTTGTTTTGCATAGCATCAGCTGTTCCCTCTTTCCCACTTGTTCCCAGCTTTCTTGAGAAGACAAAGAAAGTACTAATTCAGTCTTCTATTGTATTTCGTTTCGTTTTGCCTTTTATTTTGTTACTTTCTTGTAAACAAATATGCTCAATGTTTGAGTTTATATAAGTTGGAGTAGCATCAAAAATGAATTAAGATATGGTTAGCTAATTTGTAAGTAAGCTTCGACACAAACGCTGTAAGAAGCAACTAAGGAGGAAAAGAGGATGTGGTAAAGATCCGTGTTTCAGATTGGTGATAGCCTCACTGGAGAGACTTTACCAAAGCACAGATTCAGTATCAAAGCCTAGGCTATGATATAGGGATTGAGGTTGCTATGAAAATCCGCTATCACACTATACCTCCTACCCAGAACCATGCATGCTCACAAGCACACCCCCGCCCCCCCACCAAACCTCAACTCTCTCTTGCTAACTTTTGAGACAATCTTTTGATTTCTAACATGAAAGGCATTTTAAATAACAAAACAATGAGGGGGCGGAGAGAGATCAGTTTGTTTGGATAATTTTCTTATCCAGAGTATCTGCAACTGAGGAATTTGTTGATTCTGATAGACAATAACTGGTTGTTATTGCATTCCTCTCTTGACTGGCTAGATTTTTTAAAAAAGAAATTTAATCTTGAGCCATTTTCTGGTGTCAGTAATAATTACAGTGAAGAAAAATTTTGGATTATTACCATTACTACTTATTTTAATATATCTATATGAAAAGTAACTCAGACTATTCAATAAATTCCTAGATTTCTTGTCTTTAGAAAGAAAAAAAAATGACTCCAATATTGCTTAGTTTATAGCAATGGTAGGACTTTTCAGATTCAAATCTCAAATAATTGGAAAACCCCTTTTTAATCACTTAGTCTAATATCCTAATTTTAATATATCAAGCAGCTGGTTGTGTTTCCTTCATAGTGAAGGAAGAGCTGGATGATAAAATGAATGTGTTTTTGTTTATCTCTCTCCTTTCTTCTATCCTTTTTCTTTCCAGGAAACAATGTCTTTCAGATGGATAGGTAAGACTTTTTATTATTTTATTTTATCCAAGGCTTCCTTTATAGGACTAAATTAATTTCTGAGTAAAATATCAATACGAATTTCAGTGATACATTGAAAGCTTTGCTTTCCTTGAGTTTATGATATTCTTAGACCTACTACTAAGGATTACCAGGTAGTTTGTTAAATCTATAATTATTTTTAACATAGCTGAAAATAAATAACATAGCAATAAGACAGCATAATCTCAGGCTTAAGAAAATTTTCCTTTATCCTCAGATGCCTGTCCCCACATACAGTTGGAAATGGAAATGGAATTATGGACACCATTATAACTGGTGTAACTCAATAGAAGTAAAACTGAATTATAGCCTAAATGCTATAACTATGAATAGATCTAATTCTAGAACAACTCATATGTACATGTTCTACTTGGTTCCATCCTTAGTCCTGTGATTCAGAAATACAATGACCATAAACTTTTCACCTTTTCTCATAATTTTGTGCATCATTAGTCATTATGTCTATAAGGAATATTACAGGTGATTTTTTTAAACTTCTATAAAATGATGAGATAGGAAAATACAGAGCTGTTACCTGTCATGATCAGGTCAGGTCACAAATTCCTCAGAACACAGCAGGATTTAGAATTACAACTCCAGACTATTTTGGTGTTCTTTTTCCCCTCAACAAGGTGTTTAGATCTCTAAGGCTTAACTCATTGTTAAGTATAATAAGGGATACATAAACATGGTTTTGGGTAATGAGAATATTATTTAGAAAACTAAACTTTCAGAGCTTGTTTTCTCCTTTTCAGATGTGGACTTGAGTAAATACATCACTAGCATTGCTGAACAAATGACAATAAATCAAGTAAGAGATTTTGTCCGGAAAAATAATATCAGCGAAGCCAAAATAGATGAGATCAAGAATAACTATCTCCAAGACACAGCTGAGCAGAAAGTCCAGCTGCTTCGTAATTGGTATCAATTCCATGGGAAGAAGGGCGCCTTTGACACTTTAATCAAAAGTCTCAGGAAAGCCAATCTTTGTGCTCTTGCAGAGAAAATTCAGGACATGGTCCAGACAGATGCTGAAAATTCAACTTCAAACACTAGACACGAAAATGAACAACAAAGTTTGGCCTAGAGGGCTAATGAACTCAGTTCTGACTATGTACAATCAATAAATTAAAAAAATAATGGGAAAACGGTTCTGTTTGTAGAAGGCAACAGATATGACTAAGACAATTGCTAGGCTTTTGTGTGATACATTTTACTTTTTCTTTTGTTAGTTTTGTAGAGCTGTTGTATTTATACATGTTGAAGATCTCATGATTCTGCCTTCAAGAATGTTTAAAATCAAATTGGATAAACAGACTTTGTGAAGAATAAGTACAATGCCATGTGAAGTTCCCCAAAAGAAGTATAAACAGAGAAAAAGTTTAGTGCTATGCTCTAGTATCTAACATGATTCTGCAGGCCTCAGTGTCATTAGTGTATGTTAAGCTGACTCCATCCTTGTAAAAACTGACCTTTTGTTACTATGTCAAAGTCACTAGAAAAACTACTTTGCCTCTCCTCTACCTCCTCAATGTTTACCAGTATGAGAGGAGAATAGTCAGGCAAAGCTGCATGATACTTGAATACAGAATTTAATAAGTTCTTATGTCCAAGATCTTTGCATAGATTATTGATGGTTTATTACAAAATATTTATTTTGAATTTGTATGGGAAAATACTAGTTAAGTTATATAATGCTTGAATAATTGCTATTTATATGGCGTTTTACAAAATCGCAGAGCTTTGGACCTAATTTCACCAGTTACAATATTCTTGTGCCTCTCTAGAAATAAAAAGTTAAAGATTGCAGAAAAATTCCACAAATGGAGGCAATCAAAGGATAGTAAATGGTCACATGCAAAAAACTGGTTTTCTCGCATCATGCTTTTTTCATTCTTTCTCAATGACATGATAGAGGTAAGAAAGAAAACAATAGGTATGAAATGTGTTATTACTACCTAAATAAACAACACTGGAGTGAAAACAGGCTTTCTTTCCTACATGGCATCCTACCTACACTCATATCTCTCTGAGCCACGTGGAACAAACACAGGAACTTTAGAAGAAAAAATACAGGAACTTTAGAAGAGTCTCCTCTATCTGGGGCCCAAGCATCCTCTTGGTCTCCTTCCCAGCCAAGGTTATCTTATTTGAAAGTTTCCCAACAATGGTAACAAATACATGTGCAGGTTAGGAATTGGATTTGTGAATGACTTTCCTCTCCACATTCACTTAGATTGCTCCAGACCTTGAATTCCCTGTTTCCCATTCACAAAGATTCAGAACCACTTCTCTTTCAAGATTTTCTTGAAGGCTATCTCTTTAAGAGCTCTCTCTGGTGTTTCAGGCTAAAGTGACTTTTCTTATTTTAGCATTCTTGTAGGTGAGACTCCACCTGTTTTCATTGGGGATTAAATTCTCTCAATTTTTGTAAAAGAACTAAAGATTAGTGTGTAAAGCACCTACTAGTGTCTCCTTCACTCAAAAAAATGTTAGATGTTACTCTGCCTAACATTCTCATTATAATCATATGTACACTATACCACTTAAAGGCAGGAAATCAGGAGTCACATCTGATTAAGCATGTCATCTAAGAAAAAGTTACTGCACAAATGAACATATTTAATAAATTCTGAATTCATGCCCCAAACAGGGCAAACATAAAATGAAATCTTAGTCTTTTATTGATTGATGTCATTTTGAATTTTCAGTATAACCTAACAGATTATGACTTTCCCCCTGATTATAAACCCCAGTATGTCTAGCAGTTAATAAACCTAATACATTTTTTGAGGGTGTGTGTCTGGTCATGGGGCCTGAACTCTGGGCCTGGGTGCTGTCCCTCAGCTCTTCAGCTCAAGACTAGCACTCTACCACTTGAGCCACAGCGCCACTTCTGGCTTTTTTTTTCTGCTTATGTGGTGCTGAAGAATCAAAGCAAGGGCCTCATACATGCAAGGCAAGCACTCTACCACTGAGCCACCTTCCCAGCCCACCCAATACATTTTCTAGTCATCTAGGAAATCCAGGCAATACAGAAAAGTTGAAAAATAAAATATTAGCTAAACAAAATCTTACTAGTTATAGCTAGTTCTTGTGAATTTTCATGTTTTTACAAAGAAAGAAAGGAAAAGAAAGAAAAAAGAGAAAGAGAGAAAGAAAGAAACAAATAAACAAAGTGACTTAAAGATGGCCATACCATAATGTTATAAGCTGATTTATTAGTCAGTGGGTCATGGATGATTTTCCTTGTTTATATATCTGTATGATTTAAGATATAATACCCTTTTGGAGTACATAGTATTCTATTGCTTTGTAGTATCATACTTGGTTAAAACCTAAATGCTGTATTTTTTTTGTTTAAATGTAATATGTAGTAAAGTGAGCATATTTAACCACTGTGGGGAATTAACATTTTAGTTACTACTCAAATTTCTTAACCTCAAAGACTTGGAGAAATACAAGGAGGCAATGTTCTAGAAATTAGACACAGGCCTGTTGTGTTTTTTTGGCTCAGGAAGGACAGAGTAGATGCCTGAGGAAAGGAGAGGACTAGATGCAACAATGAAAGAGAACTGAGCTGAAAAATGAGCTTTTGTAGGAATAGGATGAGCACCTAAATATTGGGGTCATGTCTTCCTGGGGCTTTGGGACTCTAAATTTCAGCTCTATGTCTAAACTTAAACCAAATTCAAAGATGCAAGTTCTGGAATTGTCCCCAGTTAATGAGATTGCCTCCTTATCCAGGAGTTATGGGATTGAGTTAAATATGAGGGAAATAGTTCATAAGTAAGGAAATATGGGGGCTGGGAATGTAGCGCAATGGTGGAGTGCTTGCCTAGCATGCATGAAGCCTTGGGTTTGATTCCTCAGTACTACATAAACAGAAAAAAAAGCCAGAAGTGGCGCTGTGGCTCAAATGGTAGAGTGCCAACCTTGAGTAAAAGAAGCTCAGGGACAGTGCCCAGGCCCTGAATTCAAGCCCCAGGACTGACAAAAAAAAGGAAATACATACATACATACATACATACATACATATATATATATATATATATATATTAAATGCTTATTTATTGATGTACTCATACAAAAAAGTATTTGACAAAATTTAGTATCATATCATATTTATGGTACATATACATATGTATATTAAGTATACATTGTCTAGCTTGTCCAATGCTCCTGTCATCTCTGCTATACAGACGAAAGGGGTGAAGGCTGAAAAGGTCAATTACTTTGTCTAAAGTTCTACAACCAGTAAGTCAGAATAGAGTAAGAAATTGGCAGGCTATTATCAACAAAAAAGTGAAAAATATGTCATACTTTCAAGGTATTCCTAGGACTCTAAAATCATGTCTAACTTGTCCCTACCTTGAGGTTTGGGTTTGGTGACGAGGCAGATGATTGATATCTTGGAAGGTAGCGTAAAGGGATAGCGTAAATGGAGGATTTTACCTAGTATGTGAAGTCAGAAAATTGACCAATGATGTGAGATCTTAGGGAAGGAAGGGCATGTGATCCCACTCCCCGTCACTGGAATCTTGTCTTCTCTGAGCTTTTATATCTAAACCTATTTTTAAAGTTTTAAAAACTAAAGATTTAGACTGTCATTTGCAATGAACCCTTGACTCTTGTTGGTTCCTGCATGGTCCTAATGTCCTTATAGTCCTACCTTAGATAAGTAAATCCATATCATGAAAGTGCAAAGGACTAGTCAGTTGATCCTACAATTCCACCAGTGAAGGGCAAGGCTGGTTTAATATATATCATTGAAGACAGTATGGACAAATGGGAGGAACTTACCTGGTGAAAGACAGGCTGTGCGTTCATTCCAGATAACCACATGATGGCAGTGTTTCTCCAGCACTGAATTAAACAATGCTTTGGAAATACATATTCAAATCATTTCCTGTTCCAATTATTCGCAGTTATTTAGATTAGCAGCCTAATATAGTGTAAGTCAGAGGCTGGATCTGAAAGTAGGCAAGTTCATGGTCAAATTCTAACTCTTTCATGAATAAATTGTGTCATCTAGAATTTCTTTTTTAATTTTTTTTCCTACCACTACTTCCACCCTCCTCCTTCCCCCCCCCGCCCCCCCCCCGCCCATCCCTTCCCTCAAAGTTGTGAAGTTCATTTTGGACATAGTGTCTTGTGAGTTTGGTTGCAATGGGTCATCCTTTGTCCTTGTTTCAGGATTTTGTTATTCCCCTTCCCTTCCCCAAACCAGATAAATATATATACAAGATACAGGGTACCAGAATCAAAGGCAGTGATTGCCAAGGATAAACCAATGGAAAAAGAAAAATGAAATAAAATAAAAAGAAAGACCTAGATACAGTACATTGGGGATAACAAGGTCAACAACAACAACAAAAAGAAAAGACCTGTTGTTTCCATGTCTTGGAGTTCATTTCAGTTAGCATCATTTTGTATGGTCATATGTACATAGATATTGAGCTATTATGAGCCTTTGCATGGCAAAGGACATAGCTAACAAGATAACTAGAAAACCCACAGATTGGGAAAAGATCTTCACTAGCTATACAACAGACAAGGGTCTCATAAAAAACATACCTAGAATTCAAAAAATTAAACCCAATAACAAATCCCCAAAGAATCAACCACCCCATAAATAAGTGGGCTAAAGAATTAAAAAGAGACTTTTCTGGAGCGGAAAAAAAGAATGGCCAATAAACATGAAGAAATGCTTAACATTGCTGGCCGTAAAAGAAATACAAATCAAAACCACTTCACCTTGAATATCTAAATTTTGGTTTCCTCATCTGTGAAATGAAGACATACCTCATCAGTCCTTCATATAATTAGTTGTGAGGCATAAGAAAAAGGTATATCTGTGACCTGTGAAATTTATTCTTCAGCATTAATATACATTATAATCATCTAATGACATTTTGAAATGCAAATTCCTACTGGTAAACTTACCTCCATTGTACAGTATTGTCTAACGTGTGTGAGGCCCTGGGTTCAATCTATAGCACTCTAAAATGCATACTCTTAGATTCAGATCTGCATCACTAAGCAGATTTCTGCATATTAATTTGCCAATATTACAGGGGGTGAGACCCTTGGACAACAATTTGAGAAAAGACAATACAAATACCATAAAAGGTATTTCTGAAAACAGAATTCTGAAAACAGATTTCTGATAACAGAAATCTGTCCTGTATTCATACAAAGTACTTGGGACTTTGTCTTGGGTGAGAATGAGATAAGTACCTTGGACAATCTATAGAACACATTCAGCACTGTCAGACTGATATCTATCTATCTATCTATCTATCTATCTATCTATCTATCTATCTATCTATCTATCTATCTATCTATCTATAGACAGTAAAATCATCTCTGGATTTTGCCTCTGGATTCTCATGATCTTATCTTTGCTTCTGAAGAAGTTACCCATTTCCTTCTGGTAAAGGCTAGAGTGTGGTCTCACTTTGCTGATAGAGCCAGTTGTGCAGGAAGTTTAGTAATTAAGTTCCATGGACCTCATGGAGTTACTTGTTACCATGGCTGATACAGACCACCAAGGCTAATGGATCAATACTAACTGGGTTTTGCTGGTCCCCTGGAAGGGAAGTTCTGGTTAGAGGGTAACTATTGTAGAAGAAATGTGCATTCTGGCCTTTAGGCCTGTGGCCATAGGGTAATAGTTGGAATGCATTGGATGCTGTTGTTCAAGTATCATCTAAGGTAGTATCAGTCAATGCCCTTAGCAAAATTTTCAGTGGCTACTGCAGAAATTTGCTTCTGTTGGGTTATACTCAAAAGTCACATTGATCAAGAAAGGTTTGTGTTGACATTGAACTGTAGGATTTTTAGTCTTTGTGCAAGTATTTATTAAAAACGCTCATGATTACTTTGAACCAGGTATCAGTTTAGACATTTAGTTACAAGGTTAAAACCAAAGCAAAACTAACCAAAGTCTGGCTTTATGAAGCTGAATTTTAGCAGCAGGAGGCAAACACTCAACATACATAATGATTGCATAAAATGCAGTATGTTAGAAGGTGATAGGCATTCAATTAAGAGGAACCAGGGATAGGGAACTGAGGAAAAGAAAGTAAGAGGAGGAGGGTGGGAAAAGAAAGACAATGAGAGAGAGAGGAAAGACATATTGCTAAATAAAGTGGTCAGGACAGTCTTCAGTGGGATTTAGCCACCATTTGCAGAATAGTGCCCAAAAGAGAAGGAGTGGTCAAAGTAAAGAACCAGAGCAAGCCAGGTCAGCATGAGGAATAGAGAAATGGTCAGTGTGCATCCAGTGATAGGAAGGGAGAGAGTGGTAGGTGATGCAGTGAGGGAGGTAACAAGATCCAGACCACACAGACCTGGTTTTACCTACTGAGGAGTAGAGACCTGCCTGAAGGCATCTGTGCACTCTCAACCACTAACAGAGTGCTTTAGTATAACTAAAAGTTCAAATGCTGCAACTTCATTATAGGACAAAACTGAGGGTCAAGGGTGGCCCTCAGGACAGGAAAGTGTTGTAGGGAATGGTCACTTCTTTGGGGGAAAGAGAAATTGTGGGAACTGGGTACTGAGATGCAATTGTAGTTTGAAAGTCCCGCAAATACCATTTGCTGAGTTAGTAGGACTCTGGGTCAGGAAATGTGAGGTGCCTCTAAGGCATTTTCCCCCGAAGTCCTTGTACAGAACATGTTCTATCTGTGCATGTTTCTCCATTCGGATTCCTTCCTCTTCCCCTCAGCCCTTCAACGACCTCTGCATCACACCTTACTCATCCTTTCACTTGGCAAGAGCTTCTTAAGAACTTGGATTTTGGAAAGTCCCTT